TAGATCATATATTTTTTTGTATGTGTGTATGTATTTATATATTTGTGTACTATATGGATCGGAGTGGTGTAATTAAAAGCAAGATGTAGATGTATGCTTTCAATGTTATGTTGCTGTTGTTGTTTTGCTAAGGGACAAGCCTTATTGTAGCCGCTGCTTGCAATTGTTTACACAACAGGCGAGCGAATTTCGAATATACTTAGCGTGGAAAGTGCGCCTAATTCTAGTTGTTTGTAACAAACATCTGTTTTGATCCACTGCCCAGTGCTCTGCTTTGTTGTAATTTTGTGGGTTGCGGTTGTGTTGCACTTCCTTGCCGCGGATTCGCTTCGCTTTCACATTCACGTTTTGGTGTCGGTCGGAGTTGCCTTTGCCTGTTTTTTTTTTATCGGTCGTGTTTCTTCGAATACGTGTTTTGCGGTAGTTGTACCAAATGTTATTGCGTGCGTTGCCTAAAATAATTTGCTCTGCCAGCAGCGCAAGCGATTTATGCGTGTTAAATACGTATTTTATGGTTTTGTAATTGAGAAGTAACAATAAAAATATGCTGCGTACGAAAAAATTTATTGGTCAACACACGAAACAACAGCCAAAAAGGAGGCAGAAAAGAAATCGCAGTGTTGCATATACGAATAGAGTTGTTTTACATTCTGTTAAACAAACATATCGATATCACTGTAATTCGATATCAACTCCTGTCGATAGTTTCGCTTGCAACAAACAAAAAGCCGGGTTTACTATATTTAGCGCCAAAAAGTTGTTTTCTGTTAATAGAATTAGCAATTTATTTATTTATAYATACATATAATGGTGGATGCAGATAATACACAGCTGAATCACAAGCCAAGTGCCGACACATTTCTGCCCCTTAGCCGAGTACGGACTATCATGAAGAGCTCCATGGACACGGGTCTGATAACCAACGAAGTGCTCTTTCTTATGACCAAGTGCACCGAGTTGTTTGTGCAGCATCTGGCCCGTGAGGCATACATGGCATCGTGTGCCAAGCAAAGCAACGACACACTTAAGTACGAGCACTTATCGCAGCTAGTTAACAAACGGAAAAACCTCGAGTTTCTTCTACAAATAGTTCCCGAAAAAATTCGCGTACACGAATTCCAAGAGATGTTGCGTCTTAATCGCTCCAATGCCAGCGACGATGAAGATGAAAGCTGTACCGAATCCGAGTCGGATGATGAGTAGAGTGGAGTGCATAACAATTGGCAGACTTCCAATGATGATTAGGTGATAAGAATAAGTTTTGTTTTAAGCCAAAAGACATTTTTATTAATTGGACAAAATTTGATTAAATTATACATAATTGTGAAATAAATTTGCATTGCCCATAAAATATAAGGCTAATCGACTGATAACCATATTAATTTTCATCTGGCCATTTCTTCTCTGACCGAGGCAAGGTTGTAAAACAATTGCTTTATCATAGCAATGCCAAATCAAGGACTGATAAATCAGCTGGGTTAAACCTTCAATGTCAGATTGTGAAGTTTTCAGTAAAACACTTGGATTTCTTTATCAATAATATAGCTAACAAGCACACACACATATGCATACACACTTATTGTATGCATGTGTGGATGCTCATCTTTTTACATGTGTAATTTAATTGCATTCGATATTATAATATATAGTATAATTCATTAATAATTCCATGCACAGGAACAATAAAAAAAAAAAGAAAAAGAAGATAGGTATAGATCTGGAATGGGTTTTTAGAGCTTCAGGTTAACTCCTGGATAGCCCTTGGCATTGAGTCCTGTCACTTTGTAGGTAGTGCCGGCCGGAGCGGGCTGATCGAACTTGGATGCAGTGGTCACATACAGAATGTCCAGATTGGGTCCACCGAAGGCAACCGAGGTAATCTGCTTGGTGGGCAGCTTGATCTCCAGCAAGCATTCGCCCGTGCTGTAACGGCAATGGAATCGGATTAGTTTGATTTGGGATAAACGGAAGAGCCGTGCTTAACGTACTTGGGATTGACTTTGTAGATGGTGGAGCCATTGAATGTGGCCACATAGAGGTTGCCCTCGGTGTCAATGGTCATGCCATCGGGCAAGATGTGAGTCTTGGGGCTGTCCTTGCGCAAATTGTAGATAACCTTGGGATTGCTGGCGACGCCAGTGTTAAAGTCATAGTCATAGGACTTCACCTCGTAGTCGGTGGTATCAATGTAGTAGAACTTATTGGCCTTCTCATCCCAGGCCAGGCCATTGGAGATGCCGACGTCGCTCTTTACCACCGTCACATTGCCGCCCGCCTCCCAGCGGTACAGTTCGCCGTGGCGGTGCGTGAACTCGTCCCCAACGTAGCGCATGGTGCCGAAGAAGAGGCGACCCTTCGGATCGGCCTTGGCGTCGTTCAGGCGATTCTCCTTGAAATCGGACTGCACCTCGAACAGAGTGCGCACCACCTTAGCCACCGGCGAGACACCGTCCCAGTTGACGATGACGACGCGGCGGCCACAGCCGACGGCAAACTCCTGATCATTGCCCTCCACGGGCAGCACAAAGGTGGCGAATGTCTCGCCCTCAATCTGAGTCCTGTACGTCTTGTTCTGTTTGTAGTCGTAGCGCAGCAGACAGCCCGCCTCCAGGTCCACGAAATACAGACTCTGCCTGGCCACATCCCAGTGAGGTCCCTCGCCTAGGCCGGCATACGAATCGGGTAGTGGCTCCACTTTGTACGACATCTATGAAGCAAAAAACAAAAAAAAAAGAAAATATACATATGCAGAAAATAAAAAATTATGAGAATTAACGAAACAGCTGAGAACATTCAAATTACCGTTGGAATGCACAAAGTGACTAAATAAATAAATATGACTAATTGGGCTAATTTGGACTGCATGTTTGAATTGAGCTGCTTAATGTTGGCAGTTGTAACTGTGCACTGAAGCAGCTGCCGGCAGCCACAAGTGTTTTTATTAGCCAATACGCTAACAGCCAGCAACAACAACTACAACAACAAGCGCAAGTATTAATTCCAGTTTGAGTTTGTTGATTTTTTTATTTCTTCACAGCTGCTGTTGTGACGCCATGCCCTTCACCTGCTCGGGTCGCGGGCCGAGATTTTCAACTTTGTCAGCTGCGTTTGTTGTTACTGATGTTGCTGTTGCTTTGAGCACGTAATTGCCATCCATCTCGCTGTTGTAGTTGTTGTTGCTGCTGCTATTGAACTTGCCTGCCTAAAATCGCGATCCGTTTACGGTACTCGCAGCTAAAATCTTCGCACACATACACACTCAAAGCAATCTCTAACAATGATCTGTATATCAGACAAGGACAGCATATGCAAACAGTATCGAACTTAACTGAGAAACGATTTATAGCACAATATCTTACAATGTGTGCGTTAAAGAAGGACAGCATATGCAAACGTTATCGAACATCACCAAGAAGCGATTTAAAGATGGTGACTCAAGGATAATACAAACAAAGCGCAAACAGACAATCACAGTGATGCATAACTTGTTGACTTATTAGTAAATTATTGTTGAACAAAAAGTGTTCTATTAATCACTTGTGGTTGGCATTTCAAAGATTTTGTAATTGGCTATTGAATAATAATAAAAACTATAGAGCTACTAGCAGCAAACAGCTGAAGGGTAATGCTTAATAAGTGAACTGTAAAAACTTGCAAATTGAAAGTCATTTATGGAAAAAAGGGGGCTTGAGTAACACTTGTAAAATGCACATATTGATTATATTTTAAAGCGATTAGGCAAACTATCTGAAATCAGATTCTTATCAAAGGCAATAGCAAAAAAAAAAAAATTTTTTTATTTGATAATTGATTAATTGCATATTAGCTTCCAATGACGCTACTGATACTTATTTTTATTCTTTTTGTTTTTTTACTAGCTACCACAAATGTCCTTTTATATAGTATTTATGTTTATTTCACAATCAATTTAAAAGTTTATGCTTTTAGAAGTGAAAAACAAAAAAAAAAATCACAACTTTCTCCATGTGCATTTTAGGCAGGACTTAAATTTATTCTCTTTCACTTATAAACATACCTTTGGAATATGTTTGTTAATTCGAACTTAACGGTTAAACAACGGCTAGGCCAATAGGACACAACGCGTACAAACAGTTGGCGTGAACTGAGGTTTGAATCGCTGGCTATGAATCTTTTTATAGCCAAATCTGGGGACAGCAGCAGCCGGTGTATGCGTGATATACTTACATATATACATAAATATATATATATATGATTGATAAGCGTCAAGTGTGAAGCCAAATGCTGATAAGACTTAGTCAAGCACCCATACATTCACATTGCGTATAAACATTTGCTAATAAGTATATCTATGTATGAAGAAATGAACAACAGAAGGGATTGCTATCGCAATCAATACTCGTTAAGTTCACTGCAAGATGAAATACGAGAAGTGGGCGTGATGCCAGACCAAGTAATAGTTGTGTTTACTGTACAGAATACAGTAAAATCTGGATAAATTCTACACAGTTAAATTAAAGCTTCCGAGATACAGGATATCGAGCCATTTGTAAAAATATTTGTAAAATTCCTTTTATTTTTTAAAGACTCTGTTGCCATGCTATAGACTTTACTGTACTTAAAATAAAATTGCAAAAAAAGAAACGATTTTTCTGACAACTTGTTATTTAATAATTTTTTTGCTGTGTGGGCGCTTTTGATAAGTAGAATATTTATATAATGTTGTTTGGTACACATATCATATTGTTATTTATATGTGTATAGGCAGGCATATGCATAGGATTTATCTGCTCTTCCGGTCCGCAAATTAGCGATAAATTGCATTGAGCATTGCTTGTGCCTTGCAAATCATTTGCGAACCACTGTGCGCGCCGAAAATCAAAGGATGCTAAATCGGCCGATGTGTCTGAAGACCGGGCATTATTTATGCGAGCGATCTTTGCCCTGTTGGACAGCCGGGTGGTACTAAACGGTCCTTATCTCTCATAGCCAGCAAATGACTTGTCAAATATTTTATTTGATTCTTAAATTTAAATGTTTTTTTCAATTAATTTGCTACATGATTTATGGCTGTTCTTTGACACATAAACTAGGCATTAACGATACATATGGGCTATAATATACACATTAATGTTATTAATAAACTTTCTAATCTTATGTGAATATTTTAAGCTCAAAGTTCTTAAATAGAAAAACTGGCATTTACTTGAAAAATGGCAAAGTGTTTATCACAATTATGAAATATTTCACAAATTCTTTATATTATATGCACGTATATTATATATGAGTCCCCGCATAAAGTTTACTAAATAGATTAGCCTGGCAGATACTCAAGCTAAAATATTTATTAAGTTGGTATATATTTTTTGTAATTATCGAGGAAATTCATATATTCATTCAGATTTGAAGCCAAATGGAGATTACAATGCTAAGAGCCATATAGATATGCATATGCACTTTATATCTAAATTATTAATATGTATTTTATTCAATAAATGCGTATCAATCATTATTTATCATCCGTAATTATCGACTGTAATTGAAAGTCATATAATGAGTGCAGCTTCAAATGAATTGCAATCAAAAAGTAATTATTAAAGTGAAACTGTGCTTCGATTGGAATTTGATAAGGAYAATAAATAAATAAATAATGTCAATGAAGCTTGCAGAATGCCTGTAGCAGATTTTTATGGGATCAAGTGACATACACCATATATCATATAATATACAAATCTTTACTATGTTATGTTATATAAATAAAAATTTATATATTATGAAAAAAAAAGAAGGAATATGGAAGGTCAAATTCATGTAGGTTAAGAATAATAATTTAACTAGTTTCGTTACCACACAAAGCAAGGCATTGAGCAGTCGGATACGCCCGCCGCAACATACATAACTATTTGAATTATGCCATGTTCTTATTGATGAAATTAAACTCTGTGTTTATTGTGAGCTTATAACGCATTGATTTTACCTTTTATGTCTTATTACTTAGAAGCAATAAAAAATCAAATTGAAAGCAATTACTATAAAAAGTAGTATATAGCAATAAATAAACCAAAACAAAAACCAAAACACAGTCACACAAGCGAAACGTGTGGAAAGCAAACTAAGCGATTGAATCAGCTGATCACACTCGATAATAGACAGCAGCATCCCTACTGCTCCATTTAGTATTGATATCGAAATGTGGCAAATTTTGTCTAAACTTGGAGGTATTGCCATAATAACTAATCATTCGTAAATAAAGTTGCACAAAAAAAATTTTCAACAAAATTAAATTCAAAAAATGTTGTCATATTTTATGATCGATTATTTGTCTTGCTGTTAGTTAACATGAACTGTTGAGCAATAACAGCAGGATAACATTGGCCAATCTTTCGATTTTAGTGTCATCGATTGTTCATAGAGCAATTATCATTTGTTGTTGTTTCGTCGCAAGGTTCGGACGTGTTGTATTCCGAGGTGCACATTGGAAGTCGTTCGGCTCTGCGTTCATTTCATTTTTTTTCTGTGTAATTTTGTTTTGCATACTGAGACGCAGACGGACACACGACCACGGCGGAGTCGTTCTGACTAACCGATACCGTTACCCAAGCCTGTGCCCAGCCATTAGTAGATGTGAAATGTGACGACACAACGAAAAAGTGTCCGCAATCGCGCAGCCGAGGCGACAAAAACCATTTTGCAAAAAGAAAAGAAAAGAAAATAAAAAGAAATACAACAAAAAAAAAGTGAGAGGAATCGGCAGCGACGCTCACGCGTTGCGCCCCCATTCAAAATAAAAGTGAAAACGTGCAAAATATACAACGAATAAGCAAAGCAAGAAAGAACAGCAGCAACAAGAAGATATTAATTATAATCCGAAAATGTGCGACGCTGTCGCAACCACCACAACAGCAACACCAACCATCCCAGCAGCAGCGGGATCTGGACCAGGAGTGGCTGCTGGGGATACAACCACATCGACAGCAATGGAGGAGCGGACGCGACAAAGTTGCTGTCGCCTGTGCATTGCGCCCGCCAGCGAATGCATTTCGATCATTAACAGTTATGCGGCCGATAAGGAACCGTTGGCCACTAAAATACACAACTGCGTAAATATCAAGGTGAGTAAATCAAATGTTGCCAGCGGCATACGTAATACACTCATCCACACACATTGGCAACGGCATCGACGTCGCCATCGATTCGATTTCTACCTGCTGTCGCTGCCGTTGCTGCTGCTGCTGCGCCAGTGTGCTCCTTTAATGCGAAACCGTTATACACACTGATGACTGCTGGTACCCATTCCCCTACTGCTGCTGCTGCTGTTCGGAGCCGGAACAAACGGCCGGCAGGCAGCCAGCCAGCCAGCACAGCCACACCCGAGCTGTGCTTATGGGTAATCTACTCCTGCTCTTGCCGAGCGGCATTTCCTGTCTGTGCGTGTATAATCGATAACACTTCTAATATCGACAACTTCACCTAGCGTTTGCTGGCCAAAAAAAAAAAGACAAAAAAAAAAGAAGAAAAGTAGCCAGAAAGTGAGGTTAAATGCGAAACCAAAAGTAAAATATGCCTCATCAGACGCGAGCTGCTGCTGCTGCTCTGCTACTGGCTGGCCCCATTTGATTGTGCAAGCACTGGCGATGACGACAACGACGACGAGACCGAGCCAAACGTTGTTTCGTTCGTCGCCAGCTGCAGCAGTAGCAACGGCAACAGCAGCATTCTCTTCTACCCAATACAATCCAATCTCCACCTCTGCCTCAGTCCCCCGTCTAAAATGGCACTTGCCCGTGAGCAACATCATCATCATTGGAAATGGAAACGGAATCGAGCGTTCGCTCGCATTTGTGCTTGTCCATGCCGTGCCATGCCGTGTGCTCCGGCTCTGTGCCGTCTGCCTCTGGCTTTGCTTGAAGTGCCAAGTCACGATGCCCGAC